GGAGGGATAAGGGCAGGGAAAAAGAAAGAGGGCATTACAATTAGCATGTATAGTGCGTGGGGGGGCACAGGAAGGGCTGTTCAACACAGAGAAGACCAAGTAGTGATTTTACAGCATCTTACTATGCAGATGGACAGTGACTGTGAAGGGATATGTGGGGGGGACTTGGTGAAGGGGGGAGCCTAGTAAACATAATGTTCTTCATGTAATTGTAGATTAATGATACCAAAATTAAAAAAAAAAGTACAAGGGACATCTTGTGTTCTAATATTTGGTCTTTGACTCTGATTTCTGACACAGAGCTCCTAAATCCCTTGGGATTTCCTCGGTGAAGGGCATATCTTTCAACCGAATGAGGTGACTCTTGGTGGTTTCCTGGGTAGCTTCAGGATGGAGACTGGTTACCGGAAAGACCAAGCCATGATTCAAAGTTTGGAACTTTCAGCCCCACCCCCCATCCTCCTGGAAGGGGACAGGGGCTGGAGATTGAGTTAATGCTTGTTCATGCCCGTTTGATGAAACCTCCATAAAAATCCCCAGAGTGTGGGGTTTGGAGAGCCTCTGGGCTGGTGAACAAGTCTGTATGCTGGGAGGGTGGCACACCCCCAACTCCAGGGGACAGAAGCTCCTGTGTGGGACCCTTCCAGATCATTCCCATGTATCACTTCATCTGGCTGTTCTTCTGTGTCCTTATTATTTCCTTTATATAAACCAGTAAATGTAAGTAAGTGTTTCCTTGTGAACTGTTGTGTCAGGTGATTGCATCCAGTGAGGGGACTGTGGGGACCTATAATTTGTAGCCAAGTCAGACAGAAGTTGTGTGTAACATGGGATCTACTGCTTGGGGTTGGTGTCAGAAGTGGGGAGCAGTGTTAAGGGACTGAACCCTTAACCAGTGAGGTCTGTACTAACTCTTGTTAGTGTCAGAATTGAATTGAATTACATAACATCCAGCTGGCATCTGACAAAATTGGTTGATGTGAGGGGAAAAACCCACACATCTGGTATCAGAATTAGTGATATGAGTAAGGAATAAACAAGTGTCAAAAATTCTTTGCTTGACCAAACTTCAGTCAGGTTCCTGAACCTTCTCTTAGGCCACCTGTGTACATTTTTGCAAAATACAGTTTTAGCAAGAACTCTGCTAATTCAGTTTAGGAAGAAGCCCCCACCTTTGATATCTGATTGGGTTCCTCCTTCTGTACCATTCCCCCAGGTAATGTCTGATCACCTTGGCCCGTCCTCAGCAAGAATTCTGTTAGGTCTATTTAGTCAAAAATCCCTCTTATCCCTAATGTTTTCTCTTACTAATTTTCCATGCAGTGATCTCAAGATCTCACCCTGTTTCTTGTCTATAAATTCCCAATTACCAATGCAGTATTTGGAGTTGAACCCAGTCTCTCCTTAACTGCAGAATTTCATTGCAGTGGTACCTATGCCTATCGAGATAGCTCCCCAAAGTCTTCCTTACCATGCTTTTAACAATGTCATTGAATATTATTTTTTCCTTTTAACAGTTGTGGCACAACTTGGATAGGATCAGATTCATTATTGGACCCCCGGACCTCTCACTCAGGACCCTAAGTGCAAACCTTTGAAGCCTTTATCTTCACTCCTGACTGATTGACCGGGGATCCATTGGTGAGTCCGACTCTTGAACCATTGCTCTGGAAAAATGTCCATGGAAGCTGGTAAGGACAGATTTTGATTCTTAAAGAGTCTCAGTGTACTTCAGAAGGTGGCACAGAATCCCAGATAAACACAGGCTGGGTTAGACTACTTGGTTTCTCTGTAAGAGGCTCAGTTAGAGCCCTAGGCAAGCAGGTGTTTGTAAGGAGCTGAGTTAGAATACTTTTTTTTGTTTGAAAAGTAACTACTGGGCTGGAGATCTCTTCTTATTGGCTCTCTCTTTCTCAAAAAAATTATTCCCGACTTCTTGTACTAGAAGTCTGTCTTCTGGCTCTCTGTGACACTGCTTAGTTTTCTCTATTAGATCTTGATTCTCCCATGCATCTCAGTTGATTCAGACCCCCTTGTTGATCCCCTGTTGACTATATTCTCTGTCTACCTGCATTCTTGTTGGCATGCTTTTGCTGAAAATAATCTGGAACTTCATTGGCCTTTTTGGAAAGTGATATATCCAAGCTGGCTCCTCTAAGACCTCTCCCTTCCAGTTGCTTCTGCTCTTCTTACTACCTTCAGTCTTCCCTCTGTTTCCCTTGGATTCCTTGATAATATCTCCCTCCCTCCAAACCCCTTCATCCTCCATCCCTCTGTCTACCACTCCCAGACCCTTTTCTACCTCACTCTGTATATTCGTATCCACTTTGGGCCCCCTGCCCTGTACTGGGGGCTGTCAGGGGACTTACAGACCTCCAAAAGCAACTGCTTGGGCCTGAAAAGGAAAAAGGGTAATTTGAGATAGATTGGATGTTTTGGCCAGTTGAATGGGCTTTGGAGGGTACCACACAGCTGCTAGATGTCTCCTTGGTCACTCACCTAAAATTTGGTCCATAGCCACCATAAGATACTAGGGCAAAGAAATGTCTTGAAGGTGGTCTCTACAAAATTGGTAAAACAGGTAATCTTAACCTGTTCCATTTGC